CTGTTCTATAAAGAAGACACCCATTTATTCTGAGACTGTAACCCCTAATTCTAGAATACCCCATGTGGGCAAACAGTCTTGGCATTACCTAGTCAGCCTCCTCTCAGAATCTTGTGTTTCGACAAGATCACTTCTCATTCTTTTAAACCCCAAAGAATATCAACTCAATTCTTCCAGAGACAAACCCCCTCATCCCATGAATCAGCCTGGTCAACCTTCTCTAAGTTGCTTTCAAAAGCAAGGATGTCCTTTCCCACATAAGGTTATCAAATCTGTACACAGTGCTCTTGGTGTGGTCTCACCAATCCCTTGTAGCAAGACTAATTTATACTCCATCTTCCTTGTAAAAAGGCAAATGGAGTGTTGGCTTTATTAATTACTTGCTATACCTGCAAAATGACTGAGAGATTTAAGTACATAGACACCCAGATCCCTGTGTATTGCAGTCTTTCTTCAATTCAATAATATTCTGCTTATCCACTTTGGCATGAAGAGCAGAAAACCTCACATTTTCTCCACATTAGACTCCATCTGCCAAACTTTTCCTAACTCATTTATCCTATTAATTTGCAGACTCTTTGTATCCTCCTCACAACTTGCTTTTCTAGCCATCTCCATAACATCAGAAAATTTGACTACACTATTTTTGATCCTTCATCCAAGTCATTAATACATAGATTGTAAATGGTTAAGGCTCAGCACTGATCCATGGCACTCCACTAGTTACAGATTGCCATCCTGAAATTACCCAACAGTTTCGTGCATATCCTTGACCAATGGATGGTAGCAAGTGAGGAAAGATTTTGCAGGTGTTACTAAGTGGTAAAGCATGAGCCTTGATGGCCAGTGAATACAGAAGCAGACAGAGCAAGTTGAGGTAGTTGAGAGATGGTGGCATTTATGCTGGCAGATTGGAGACAGTCATTGATTTTGTTTTTTTTAAAACATTGCTGTGCATTCCTCCAGATGGCTGAAACTGCACTGAACTGGGTGGCAAACCTGGATCCACCTGGCATGGTCTGGTGTCACGGCCTCCACTATTAGTCCCTCCTCCTCACCACCCCATCCAGAAGGACCTCCACATCCCTGTCCACAAAGCAGGGCTCAATATGCCATTAATTGGCCATGCCAGGAAGTGCATGTAGTTCTGGATGGCAGCTCCAGACTGAGTGCTTAACCACACGTACAAGTGTTTTAAATATGGTGCCAGGATCTCCAAGCAATGCAAAGTACTTCTGGCTATAGCAAGTGGGAGAATTGGGCTAGCATTAGATGGGCATGGTGAGTAGTTAATGAGGCTAGTTTGGGATGATTGCACAACAAAACTCACTGAGCCTTACATTAAAACCCTCCATATAGCTTGACAAAAAATTACACTTTGCCAAAACACAATAAGATTCAGCACAGAATTATTAAAAGGATCTAGAGGCACCAGAGATGGTGTAGGATTTACAAGAAGGATACCAGAAATGAGTGTGTACATTGTAGGAAAGGATTAAAAAGCTGGGTCTTTTCTCCCTTGGAAACAAAGCTGAAGGGTGACTTAATAATGGTCTTTAAAATTCTGAAAGATTTTGATAGTATGGATCGAGAGAATATCTCCTCCATGGGGAACAGCATAACCGAGTCCATCAACAAGATAGTCAGTCGATCAAGTTATCCAATTAGGGATTGGAGAAGGAGCCTCTTCACCACAAGAGAGTGGCAAATCAGACAAACACATGATGGAGAAGGGAACAAAGGTTTATTCATGAGGAAAATAGGAGGTGGCTTAATTGGAGCATTGATATTGGCATGGATGTGTAGGCCAAAAGATTTATTTCTGCGCCACATCTCTGATGTAATCAGACTACATGATAGTTATGTCTGAAGTTTAATTCGTGAACAGGATTCAAGACTGCAATGAACTTGGTTTAAAATTACAACCACAATTTATTGTTCTCTGGGCTTCTGTGATTAGAGATGGAAAAATGATAAAATGCTGTTGAGACAAATCGTCAAAGAGAGTGATGGCTGATGTGAAATTGCAATGATGGTGGACATGAAGTCCACCTCTATAAACATCCTGTTCAAAGAGAACAGTAGTAACAAAAGATAATGTCACTGTTTTATCCACAAAACTTCTCAATAAGATTCCCACACCCACCACCACATGCTAACACAAGCCAAACTGAAAAAAATGGTGTCATTTTATAAAGAACAGGTGTTACATCATGCAACACACCACATTGTTCTGCTGCCAGGTTAGAGATCCATTTAACCTCCTGTATCTTCTTCTTATCAAAGTCCAAGCGCTGTAAACAAGCACATCCTGACGTCAAATCACAGCAAATAGATTGGTTTCTTTTTTACACACTTTAAGAACGTTCAATTACAATTGTTCTATATCTTATACTTCAGATTTCACAGGGGCAGCACATTGGCACAGGGGTCAATACTGACGCCTCACAACAGCAGGGAGTCTGGTTTGACTCCAGCCTCAGGAGACTCTGTACGGTCTCCCGGTGTGTGTGGATTTTGTCTGGGTGCTCCAGTTTCCTAAATGCAAAGTATCCTTCATCAAGTTTACAAGTATAGGCCTGTCAACACAAGTGGGTTGGAGACATGCCATGAGGGTGTGGTGAACTGTTGTGTGTCTGATGCCAACATCGATGATAGAATGCCCTTGGAGCACACTGCGAAATGTTAGTGACTCCTGGCCAAGTGGAGGTGATGGTCTAGTGGCATTATCACAAGATGGTTAATCCAGAGACCCAGGTAATGTTCTGTGGACATGCTTTTGAATTAAACTCCAGCAGATGATGAATTTCAATTCAATAAATATCTGGAATTAAGAATATATCAAATACCATGAAACTACGGTAGATAGTCAGGAAAAACCCATCTCATTCACTAATGTCATTTAGGGAAGGAAACTGTTATCCTTACTTGGTCTGGCCTACACGTGACTCCAGACCCACTGCACTATGGTTGACTGAATGCCCTCTTGGTAATTAGGACAAGCGATAAATACTGGCCAAACCAGCGATGCCCACATCCCATGAGTTCAAAAATAAATCCAGAGGAGCAGGTGGAAAGATGAAATTGTGAAGTTACAGCACCTACTTTCCAGGTTGAAAAATCATTACCATCTGGCAATGGGAAACTGTATACAAGAATGAGGCAAAGGTCTTATGGTAGTTATGGAGACCCTGCTGGGTCAGGAGGTCCAGGTTCGCACCTACGCCACAGGTATGTCATATCTTAATTGATCTATTTGGATATGTTAACTAAAATATGAGGCAAGATTAGGTAATAGGGAGACGTTAATGCATGAAATAGGCCTCTGGCTGCTCAAGTGAGAATTTTGATTTTGGTTTGATTTTTTATTGTCAGATGTACCTAGGTACAGTGAAAAGTTGTTTTGGGTGCAGTACAGGCAGATCATTATTCTACAAAGATCATAGGGTGATTGGAATTTGACAATTCCATTCCAAAGTTTAATAACAGAAGAGAAGAAGCTGTTCTTGAGCCTATCGGTACGCATGTTTAAGCTTTTGTATCTTCTACCTGACAGAAAAAGGTTATGACCTGGCTGGGAGGGGTCTTTGATGATTCTGAGGCAATGAGTAGTGCAGATGGAGTCAAGGGGTAGAAGGTCTGCTTGCATGGTGGACTGGGCTATGTTCACAACGCTGTAGTTTCTTACAGTCCGGAGCAGAGCAGGTGCTGTACCAAGCCCTGATGCATCCAGATAGAAAGCCTTCTATGCTGCATCTGTAAAAGTTGGAGAGTGTCCTTAGTGACATGCCAAATTTCGTTAGGCTAAGGAAGAAGAGGCAGTGCTGTACCTTTTTTTTGACTGTCACATCAAATGGGTGGTCCAGGACAGATTGTTAGTAATTGTCATTCCTAAGAACTTGACACTCTCAACCATCTTCATTGATGTAGATAGGGGCATGCCCTCCTCCTTGCTTCCTGCAGTCAATGATCAGCTCTTTACTTTGGTTGATGTTGAGGGAGAGATTGTTATCTTTACATCACACCACCATGCGTTCAGTCTTGTCATTGTTTGATATCTAGCCTTCAACAGGGTTGCCAGTGAACTTGTATAATCTCCTCTTATCCTTCAATATATGGTTGGAAAATAAGACTCTACCTTTGATGTTGAGATTCCCCATGTCCTAGCTCGTGTGATTTTTCTAAAGCCAATCTTGTTCAATGCCTGGGAAGAATCGACCCAATTATAATTAGTTGAAAACAAACATTCGTAGCTAATGGCCTAATGTTGTCTTTATATTTTGAGGTAGTACAAAGAAGGCATTGTGGTAATGCTGATGAACAAAGTCAAAGCCAAATGAATGTCAGTGTTTAAAAGAAACAACTTTCAGTACAGGACAAGAGAATTTAATGTTTAGGTTGTAGATTAAGTTTCGTTTATTCAAATCTTCTTTCAGCTTTTTCCACTATGCATTTTATCACAATGCTTTTTGATCACACTTGTCCATTTCCTCCTATTAGTCATCCACTCCACTGCATTTTAAAACAAAAAAGGTCTCACACTAATTAGTGTTCATCTAAATTTTAAACTTTGCTAGCACTGCCATCACTTGCTTACTGCATTTCCTTGCTCAGTAACAGACAACCATGCCATTTCCGTCTCCTCAGCTACTTTTTGATGCTCCCACAATTTTAAATAAATAAATAAAACTCCCACATACCCATCTCAGCATGCACATCTCACTAGAATCTAGTCTTGATATTTTCTAGGTTTCTGCCGTGATTTAAACTGTGGCCAGTCGTAACAGTCTCGTAGATGCTTCCTTTCAGTTTCGGCAATACTTTTCTATTGCCATCATAGAACACCACATTGCACTTCTTCCAATTACTCCAAATTACAGCCATTCCATAAACTTCCATTTTTGCCACCAGTGATCCCAGGTAATTCAAACTACTCATTTTCTTCAAGTCTTTATCATAAAACTTTATCTTCACTCAGATTTTCTTCCCAAACTCAAAAGACAGTCCATACGTTGGGTTTATGGTCTGATCTTCATACCAGTCTTCTAGTCCTGTCATGCTGGTCTTCCCCCAGACAGCTCAAAGATCATCTGCAAATGTCATTGACCATGGCATTTCCTGTTTCACTTGGAACATCTAGCATGAATCAGAAATAAAGAGGTTCAGTGCCAATCCTTGTTGCAATCCAACTTGCGGTTTCAAACACATGCTCTTCCACT